CCAGGGATGTGTCTCCTCCATCAGACTGGGGGCTCCCAGAGTCAGGAAAGTGTCTCCTCCACAGACTGGGGGCTCCTAGGCCAGGGATGTGTCTCCTCCATCAGACTGGGGGCTCCCAGAGTTAGGGACCATGTCTCCTCCATCAGACTGGGGCCTCCCAGGGGACCATGTCCCCTCCATCAAACTGGGCATTTTCAGAGGTCTGAGAGCCAGGCTGCTGAGTGGAGCCCTGGACAGGCAGCTCCAAGCACTAGGAACGCGTCACTTCTGGTCTGGAGTCCCGCCTCGGCCACCACTCTGAGCACTCTCAGGAGTCCTGTGCCTGAGTCGGGGATGGTACTCTCACCTTCCAGCAGGAACTTTTCAGGATCAGGACCCCAAACATCGCCCCTATGCCCGCTCTTCTCTGTGGTCCCCTCAATAGTAGCACCCTGATCCTCACCCCTATCTGAGGGGCAGAGCGCCCATCCCTCTGCCCAAGCTGGCAGTAGGTGCCACCATACCCTGGACGGCTTCTCACCTGTCTCTTTTCTCACAGTCCAGCTCCCTCCCTCGCACGACGACCACCGCCACACTCCTGACCTTGAACCTGGCACAGGCTGAGCATGGGGTGGGAGGGGCTGTGGAGCGGGCAGGGCAGCATGAGGGCCAGGGACTGGGGCCCCACGACCACAACTCGCTGAGGTCCCCTCTGTCCCCTCCGCCCCTTGCACGTCCTCCCCACAGCGCTGGAGTAGCAGTGAAGCCGCCTCTGAGACCTCCGGAGAGAACTGCGGTTGTATCGCCTCCTGCCTCCAGCAAGGATGCAGCTGAGGCCCTGCAGCCGGTCCCCACCTAGAGTTAGAGTCCAAGGGCCCTGCTCCTTCTAGGGCTGTCACAGATCGTGCGACATAAACGTCCTGGTCAATGCACGTGTGTGTGGCCTCTCCTTCCACTCAGGCACCCACCATCCCAGATGCGTGCAACCGCGAGGGCCACTCCAAGGCGCCCCAGGTTCTACCTGGGGGTCCTGCTCCCAGGGGATGGAGGACACCCCTCCCAGCCTCACCAAACAGAGCAGCTTGGCCACCCAGCCCTAAGGCCAAGCTGCTGGTGCTCAGTCAGAGGCCCACACCTTCTGTCCCACCTGTGCAATCCAAGCCACCAAAAAAGGCCAAGGGAGGGGGGGTATCAGGGTGCCTTCGCTCCTGCTGCTCTCCAGAGGGTGGGGTACGGCCCCTCCCAGCCGCCTGACCCAAGGCAGAGGCTCTGAGTCTCGGGTCAGAAGCAGTGTGGACCAGAGTCCAGGCTGGCAGAGACGGGGCCATGGGCAGGGATGGAGATGCCCTCCTGGGGATGGCTGTGTGGAACAGGGTCACTGGGCTGTAAAGACCCCCAGCATGGATTTATAAAATCTGGAGTGTAGCTGGGCGTGGCAGGGCACATCTGTAATCCCAGCATTCTGGAGGCTGAGGCAGGAAGATTGCAAGTATGAGCCCAACCTGGGAAGCCTCTCAATTCAGTCTGACACTTCCAATAATAATAATAATAATAATAATAATAATAATAATAATAATAATATGTTTTAAAGGCTAGGGGATGTAGGCAGATGAGTGAGAGGCCCCAGGTTCAATCCCCTATAACAATACGAAAAGGCCAAGGGGGCAGACAGTGGTTAGGAGGATCTTGATTTCAAAGCCAGCCTGGGGTACATCCTTACCCCAGCTTCAGGAAGGGTCTGGGAAGTATGGGCTTTTTCTTGGGTTTGTTGCTGCCCCAGATAACGCAGGTTCTGGCATGAAGAAAGGCGGAAGGAGGCCAGGAAGAGGGATGCGAGGAGCTGGGGCAGGGGTAGGAGAGAGAAACAGCTCGGGTTTCCAGGTCATGTGGATTTTGTGTCCTCACAGTGCAGAGGCTCAGGTGTCCCAGGACCCTGTCTCTGGTCCCCTGGGCTGCTCTAGACTCCTGGCCGTGTCCTTGCAAGGAGGCCAGCCCCAGCCTTCACAGTGAAGACAGTGACAAACCGCAAATCAGCGACAGCCTGGCATGACAGCGCATGCCTGTGATCCCAGCACTGGGGAGGCTGAGGTAGGGAGATCTCTGCAAGTTCGAGGCCAGTCTGGGTTGCATATGAGACCCAGCAACCTCAAAAGACCAAAACCAAACAAACAGAAAACGCACAACAGTTTATAAGTTCTGCCAAAGAAGTCAGCATCAGTTTAGCGTCCTTTTCACGCACAGTCTCAGTGAACTACAACCAGCCCTAGAGGAGTTACCGCCAGTTCCTCAGCTTTACAGATGAGGAAACTGAGGCACGGAGCTGAAGCCTGGCTCCAGCTCCCCTTCTACCCACGGCTGCCAGGCGGGGGCACTATTCGAGCCTCCGGCGGGGCCTGACCCTCCTGCCTCGGAGCTCGGAGGGCCCATGGCTTCGGACCGGACGGGTCAGGCGCCCAAGTCTCCCCTGAGGGCCGGACTTGGCCCGACGCCAGGTGCGGGGAGCAGATGCTTCCGCCGCCGCCTCCTCCAGGCCCTCGCCCGCCTGATGGCGCAGCTTCCCTCGCCCGTGTCCTCGCCCTTGAACGGTGTGGTGACCCGAGGGAGGCTTCCCAGGAAGCCGGCACGTGAGTGCTGTCCCGTCCCGCGGGCCTGGGCAGGGCGAGCCGAGCACAGCAGCCGGAAGGCGTCTCAAAGCCTCTTTGCTGCGAGGCCGCATTTCCCAGCTGCGGCAGGGTGGCTCAGGCCTGTCACCCAGCATTCTAGGCCGCTGGGGCAGGGGAGTTCAAGTTCAAGCAATGTAATGACCTAGTAAGACCCTATCTCAAAATTAAAAATCAAAATCAAAATAAACGGCTGGGGCTGTACAAACGCCCTGAGTCTGATTCCCCAGTACCACAGTACCCTCAGCCCCTGGTTGAACCAGGAAACTGCTGCTTCATGGAGGGTCACTGGAGGTCATATTTTTAAAGACTGGTCTCAGTGATTGAGTGATTAAAAAAAAAAAATTTAAAACAGTCTTGCTATGGAGCACAGGCTGGCCTCCAAACTCACAGTGATCCTCCTGCCTCAGCCTCCTGAGAGCTGGGACTATTACAGGTGCTTACCATGCCTGGCTGGCCTGGGTGACTTTTGTGATTTGACAGGGTCCAGAGGCAGAAACTGTTACACACACCCACACACACACACACGCACGCACGCCTACAAAGAACAGAAGGCCACCAGCCTAGCTACTCAGCCAGGATTTAGCCCAGAGAGTTCAGGACCCATTAACCCCCCCTCCTCCCCACCTCCCCGCAGCCCAAGGCCGATCCTCCAGCCCCAGACACCCTTTCTCAAGCGGCTGGGGTGGGGGTGACCTTGAAGCCAAGCACACAATGGCCAGGCTGGAGCCTGCCAGGGCCAGGAAGGAAGCTGCTGGCTTCCCCCGTAATGAAATGGATGCTGGTGCAGTGGGGAGGAGTCAGGGGAAAAAGGAGAGCAGGCCTGGCACCCAGGGCCCCCGACACCATGCAGGGACCCCAGAGAGTGTCCCTAGGCAGGCACAGGCGGGAACCCCCTCGCTGGTCCCTACAGCCACCCTCAGAAGCAGAAGTCACCCTGCCTGCTGCTCAGAGAGGAAACTGGAGCCCAGAAGGAAGGGCTCATGTCTTCTCCCATAGGGATGAAAGCCCGAAGTCCCCCTGAGGCCCCACTGCCTTCCTGCTGCATGCCCCACTTCCACTCTCCCAGCACCCACACGGCCCCCTGGCCGCCCAGGATATACAACCAGCAGTGACCACAGGGCCTTTGCACTGGCCACACCCTCTGCTGCATACTCTTCATCCGACACCTGCACCACTCAAAAGTATCACTCCCTTCTCAAAGAGCCCTGAATCCAAACTTGGCTAGACTTTTTTTTTTTTTTTAATGGATTTGTTACAGGGTCTCATGCAGATCCGACTCAGAGTGATCCTCCTGTTTTCAGCCTCCCCAGGTCTGGAATTACAGGCCTGTGCAACCACAACCAGTTTCAGTTGCTGGCTCAGCGCGCCCAGGGGCGGAGCCAGCGCAACATGGGACTGGCAGGACATGTGGTGCTGGGGATGAACCCTGCACTTGCCTGAGCAGATGCTTAGTCTGCTGAGCTGTCTGGCCAGCCTGGCTAGATTTATTTTTTGCAGTATTTATTACTTGCACACACCTAACTTGAGTGGGGGCAGGGCATACTGGTGATTGAACCTGGAGCCTTTGCACGGAGCTACCTCTGCATCCTTTTTTTATTCTTTGAGACAGGGTCTCCACAAGCTACGAAATTGCTTGGGGTGAGCTTTGAACTTGTGATCCTCCTGCCTCAACTGCCCAAAGTGCTGGGATTACAGTCATGTGCCACCATGCCTGGGTTTACTTTTTGGCTGACTCAGCCCATCCTGAGGCAGGGGCTGGCACAGCATGTGGTGCCAGGGAATCTAATCACGGTCCCCTACACCTGCCTAAGCAGGTACTTTAGACCACTGAGCTATCTTGCCGGCTCTTCCCTCACCCCCCCACCTTGGCTTTTTTTTTTTTTTTTTTTTTTCTGCCTTGGTTTTTCATCCTGTATTTTTTCTCACTTCTTTTTGTTTTTGTTTTTGTTTTTGTTTTTGTTTGCTTTTGGTTTTGTTCTTATGTTGTGTTGTTTTTTGAGATAGGGTTTCACTACACAGTTAGTTCAGACTGGCCTTGAACTCACTATGCAGCCAGCCCAGGCTGGCCTCAAACTCACATTGATCCTCCTGCCTCAGCCTCCCAAGGGCTGGGATTACGGAGCTGCACCACCAGGTCCAGAATTTTTTCTTCACTTATACTTTGTTTTCTTCACCAGACTGGGCTCCCCATATATGAGCTCTTGTGTTCTCTCTGGTGCTTGTAATTCAGGGCTTTAGCACACAGATGGTGCTCAACAAATCCTGCAGTGGTGGTGTGGTGGTGAGGTTTGTCCTGGCCAGTAATGAAAATAACTGTGGAGCAGTCACATCCATTGTCACTGCTGTATAATGATTTACCTTCAAGTTAGCAGCCTGGTCATCTCCTGGTTTCTGAGCATTAAGAACCTGGGTGGAGCTGGTGAGATGGCTCAGTGGTCTAAGGCACCTACTTAGAACAAGCTTAGCAAAGCACAGGGACCGCGGTTCAATCCCCTAGCACCACATGCCAGCCAGCCCCGCCCCCTGGTGGGCTGAGCTGGCCACACACACACACACACACACACACACACACACACACAAATAAATTAAAAAAAAAAAAAAGAATCTGGGTCCTGGACCAGCAAGATAGCTTAGCAGACTAAGCTCCTGCTAAGCGCAGGGACTGGGGTTTGATCCCTGGCACCACGTGCTGCGCTGGCCCTGCCCCCAGGCATGCTGAGCCGTCCACCAAGACTGGGAGTGGTGGCACATGCCTATAATCCCAGAGTTGGGGAAGCTGAAAACAGGAGGATCACTATGAGTTCTGAGCTGTGTAGTGAGACCCTGTACTAAATATATTAAAAAAAAAAAAAAATCAGGATCCAGGGGTGGTGTCACACGCCTGGAATTCCAGCACTCAGGGGCTGAGGCAGTGGGATCACAAGAGGTCAAAGCCAACATGACTCCATAATGACTTCAAGGTCAGTCTGAAGTACACAGTGAGACTGTGTCTGAAAAAGAACAAAAAGTTAACAGGCACACACCCCCAACTGGGCATGGTGGCACACATCTGTAATCCCAGACCTCAGGAGGCTGAGGCAGGAGGATAAATGTGAGTTCGAGGACAGCCTGGGCCACACAGTGGGCTCA